TTAATTACTGACTATAATACCAATATAATAATAACTTACTAGCTTTTACATAAGCGAAGCAATTCTACTCACGCCCAAAAATATGTCTTTCCGACTTCAGTATGCTTAGATAAATTTAAATATACATATAATGGTATACTAAGCACATACACATTTTAAAGAAAAATCATCAGTAGTACACTCATCAGTATGACTCGCTCCATTTCAAGTCATAATCCACATCAAAGTCATAGGGGCCCCATTATCTTAATATGCCCAGGGCCTCCAATAGGTTAAAGACGGCCCTGCCTGTCCATACAGTAACAAAGGGGTACGTCCGTTCAGTCAGAAGACTGTACTTCATGAATTGTAAAGGTAGAAAAATTATGATGTAAATATAAAAATAAAATAACATTTTTAAATAAAGATGTGAACAAAAGAGAATCGTGTCTGTTAGTCCGACGTTTCTTGCTCCATCTTAGCTATATAAAGCTATATTTCAATTACCTTGTAACTGCTTAGGATGATAGATTAAGATGAAGGATTCACTTTGTGCACGAAATGACTCGCACTTGATCGGTTTTTACACAACTGCCCAAAAAAATTATGTTAAATGGAGTCAACCTCGAATGGACATTTGTATAGGTACACCTTTATTTTTCTGTTCTCAAAGTTGTCTCAAACAAAAGTCGTATAAAATCTTTTACGCGCGTCATACAAAGTTATTTTTAACACATGATGTTAAATTATGCATTTTTCATCAAATTGCACACATAATTTTATTATTTATGCATGCCACTACAAATACAATAATATCATAAATTGCACAAATATGTGTCACCTGCATGGACGTCGTCATTATAGATCTAAGTATAGTTTTTATTTTTTCAAAATTTGTGTTGAATGATTGAGTATTATTTTATCTCAATCCGTGAAACTTTTGTTACGAATGGACTTTCACAATATATACATATTTTACGCAAACTTTTTTTTTATTAAAGGACATTGCTCGTTCCCCATACATTGAATGCCCCAGTGTGAGAAAATGCTAGTTGTGTTCGGAATCATTCATAAACTCTCATTAGGCATTTGTTGAAATACGGACAACTTGAGGAACCGTGGCCTACTACAACATGTATTAGTTTTTGAGGTTATAATTATTATTCTTAATCGTAAACGACGTACACTTTATATCTTCTGAATAGATTTATTGTTTACCTCTATGTAAGTACTTAAATAATATGAATTAACTAAACATAAAATTCAATTAATAATAAAAATTGTAAATGCTTAAATTCATATTTATTTATGAGTGTTGGCAGTTGGCACCTGTGGTACCCATACCTACCTGAGTAATAATAGATTTCTTTTCAAATGAAATTTTCAAAGGCTTTCCATTTACCTGTTTCTATATTTTATAATTAGGTATTTAGGTACCTGGTTATCATTATGATTTTCATAAAAATAAACAGACAGATATTATACGGGATGAGGTATAAACTATCTTTACATAATTTCAGAAACTAAGTATCTATCTATAAATATAATGTTAATACTCAGTGCCGTCTTCGACCTATTGGAGGCCCTGGGCATATTAGGATAATGGGGCCCCTATGACTTCCGTTTGATGATTTAACAGGAACTAGGGACTTTGTATTTGATCTGAGGGGGCCCCCTATCAATCGCGGGGCCCTGGGCACTTGCCCAAAGTGCCCACTGGGAAAGACGGGTCTGTAAATACTGGTGATAAGTATTATTAGTATTAATAACGAAGGTGGGTAGGTACGTAGTACTATTCTTATGTTGATAAATACCTATGGTCGCCTATATTGCATTTATGAAGGCTATCTATTCAAAATGGAATAGAATTGAATAAAAAAAAAACGTTTTTATTTGAAATCATTTTTTGAACCTTATTGGTGAAAGCTTTTGAATTTAGATAATAATAATAATAAGTATTTATTTGCTCCAAAAAATACATATACAAATACAAAAACATAAAATCTGACATACCAACTTTTTGGGAACAAAAAGGAATGTGACTCAGCCTTAGACCGCCGTTTTATCGGAAGTCGCTGATATTCTGCCACAACCTTATTTAACTAATACATGCTCCATTTTGTGATACCAACAAGTAAAATTTTGAAAATCGAAGATGAGGCAGTCTCTTAAGGCTAAAGATGACATGACAGCAAATTGTCTAGAATCCTAGTTATCCTATCCTACCTAGTTATAGAACTTTTAATTTTTACAACAGAATGTCCGTTTACTACGAATTATCTATACTTATAATAAATCTGTAGAGAGGTCAATTCTGTACATGAAATATATTTTCAAAATAACTATCAGGGGGTGATTAGTGATCGATACTGATGCCAAAAATGCAATCAGTAAAATTTTTGTCTGTCTGTCTGTCTGTCTGTCTGTGTGTTTGTTCCTTATAGAAACAAAAACTACTCGACGGATTTTAACGAAACTTGGTACAATTATTCTTCATACTCCTGGGCAGGTTATAGTATACTTTTCATCACGCTACAATCAATAGGAGCAGAGTAGTGAAGGGAAATGTTGGGAAAACGGGAGAAGTTACTCCATTTTTTAAGCTTCCGTGGCGTGTGCAGCCTTAATGGTTAAAGTTACATAGAAATCATGTATGACGGAAATATTCTACATAAAATTGTCTAAAAAATATCCCGCAACAGCATATGTCTATCTTTTATGGTTGACTCACAATAACACGTGTAACTCCTGATAGCTTAGCAGTTCGGAGCATTCTGATCATATTTGTTTACTCTTACGTTTATAATACTCGGTATAGAAACACCAAACTTATACATGAAATAAGCCATCACACCGTCGCACGTGAATACTGAATCATGCTATAAGGATTATTTTTGTGTAACGGTTGCCGCGCTCGACACGGGTCGCGGCAGCGGTAGGGTATCAAAGGTCCGAGAGCGAGCTGTCTAAATCTGTTTTCTGCGTCGCTCCCCCCCTGGGGGACGATCGCTTCCGATGAAGCCTTAGAGGCCTTCCCGGCCAGAGGCAGCCCCTACGGGTGTTTTTTAGTCAGTACGAGTCTGACATAACCTTGCAGCCGGCTGTAGGGTATCCATGAGGATTTCTCATCTGCTCCCCCGCCTGGGAGACCGAAACCGTGCTTATCAGCGCGACTTTTAGTCCTTAAATAGTTTATTTGAATTTCTTTTGTTGTTATTTTGTAAAACAGGTATTAGTTGTTTTGGTAGTGTTTAAATATTCGTTCGAATTAAAAATTATTAAGCGTAGGTACTTTTATTAATTAAAGTAGTTATAAGTATTTATTTTTAAGTGAAGGAGGTATAGGTAGATAGTATTGCACAGGCGTTTCAGCTTTATTTTCATTTCTTTTTTGTTGTGAGTTGTATATATTTCTGATTATAATTCTATAAGAATATTTTAATTCAAATAATCACTTAGATTTTATGTGTAAGGTAGCTAAAGTTAGGACCACGTATTAGTTGTTTTGGTAGTGTTTAAATATTCGTTCAAAGTGTAATTTAATCATATAGGATGAATGTACGATGGCCCATCGAAAAGGAGTAGAAGCGGTAGACAGAACTATAAGAGATATAAGACAAAATGATCGACCCATGGGCGGTATCACAGTTTTATTTTGTGGTGATTTCCGACAAACCTTAACGGTAATACCACGGGGAACCCGAGCTGCTGAGGTTAGGGCTTGCCTGAAAAGCTCTTATTTGTGGCGTGATATACAATCGGTGCATTTGACTATTTATTTGACTATAAACATGCGAGTGGGAACTGTAGATAACCCGGATGATCGTGAATTTTCTGATATATTATTAAAGAAAATACCTTCACCAAAGATACCTATCCACTGCTACACCAAGGAACACTTATTCTGACGCCTGAGTTATGTTGTATAGTGCAATCCCAACAACATCTTACATCGTCAGTTTACGGTGACGTAACAAATATATTAAATAAGAACAATTCTTGGCTATGCGAAAGGTCCATTTTAACTCCTCGCAATGACCAGGCATCTGAGATTAATAATAAAATACTGCGAATATCCAGGGGAAAAGCAAAGTTTATAGTTCAATAAATAGAATGGCCGATGAACAAGAAGCCACTAATTACCCGATAGAATTTTTAAATTCTTTAAATATGTAGGTACTTCCTTCTCATGAAATTTGTTTAAAAATTGGCATTCCGATTATTCTGCTCCGAAATTTAAGACCACCACTTTGCAATGGAACTCGGCTTAAAGTAACCCAGTTGTAACAAAATGTAATCGAGGCTCAAATTTTAATAGGTTGCGGTGCAGGAGAAACCATCTTTATTCCCAGAATTCCCATAATACCAAATAATTTTCCATTCCAATTTAAAAGAACGCAATTCCCAGTATCGGTGTGTTATGCAATGACAATAAATAAGGCTCAAGGGCAGACCTTTCGTGTTGTTGGAGTAGATCTCGGTGTCAGTTGTTTTTCACATGATCAGTTATGTCGGTCTTTCCCGGGTTAGCAGTCCTAGAATTTTTTATGTTCACGTTCCGGACGGGTCAAATTTCAACGTAGTCTACCCGGAAGCTTTGCGCTGAAGTATTTTCATTCTATATGTACTTAAGACTCATGTGAAAGCGATCTAAACAATATTACCAATACATTAACATAATAACATACAAGGAGTTACACGCTGATGGTCTCGGGGCACAGTGATAATAATAATATTCTGCGGTTCCTTATTGCGATATTTTTAACAGTATTATATTTCCCTACTAAAATACGAAAGTTAATCTGTCTGTCACATCAAAACCACGGAACCCTGAGGAAGGACATATGCTACTTTTTTACGAAAAACGACGATAACGCGGACGAAGTCGCGGGCAAAAGCTAGTTGCTAATAAAGTAAAAAAGTAATAGTGAAGGACATTCGTTTGTTTTTGATTTGCTGGGGCCGATTTCGTCGATTTCCTTTAACTTCTTTCTAACGGAAGTAAATTTGTTTGTCTGCAGTTGTCCGAAGAGGTGCAGAGGAAGCAGAGTGAATACCAGAAGTGTCTGGAGTCCTACAAACAGATGAGGACCAAGTTCGAGGAGAATTACCTTAAATGTAAGTGTAAGTTTCATTCATTCATCACTTTATTTGCTGAATACCTACCTAATCAAATACAGCTCCCTGTGTGATTAAATAAAAATGAATGAAGAATTGAATCCAGCCTGAACCACCTGGACCGAAGTGTCTTATTCTAGTAGTTTTTTACATAATATGTTTTGGTGTTATTCTGTAACAACAGTTGGCGTAGCGTAGTTAGAGTGGTTCTCTCAACAAATGCGGGAAGGAATAAAATCTAGTATATGGACGTGTTTCCAGGTCCGACAAGTAGAGGCGGTCGCAAGTTGGACGAAACCCGTGATAAGTACAGTAAAGCGTGCCGGAGGCTGCACCGGGCGCACAACGAGTATGTGCTGCTGCTGGCTGAGGCTACAGAGTGCGAGAGGGCGCTGAGGACGGCGGCATTACCCGCGCTACTCGACCAGCAGAGGCGGCAGGGCGAGGCCACTGCGACCTCGTGGTAATTATGTTTCATTTTTTGTGACAAGTACGGTAAGGCTGCACTGACTGTACAACGAGGATGTGCTGCTGCTGGCTAAGGCTACGAAGTGTGTGAAAGCGCTAAGGACAGCGGCGTTACCTGTGCTACTCGGCCAGCAGAGGCGGCAGAGCGAGGCCACAGCGACCTCGAGGTAATTATATTTCATTTCTCGTGACAAATACGGTAAGGCTTGACCGGAGGTACAGCGAGCATGTCCCGCTGCTGACTGAGTCTACGGAGTGCGAGAGGGCGCTGGGGACGGGAGCTTTACCTGCGCTACTCGACCAACAGAGGCGGCAGGGCGAGGCCACTGCGACCTCGTGGTAATTATGTTTATTTTTTTGTGACAAGTACGGTAAGGCTGTACCGGCGGCGTATAACGAGTATGTGCCGCTGCTGACTGAATCTACGGAGTGCGAGTTGATGCTGTGGACGGCAGCTTTACCCACGCTGCTAGACCAGCAGAGGCGGCAGAGCGAGGCCACTGCGACCTCGAGGTAATTATATTTCATTTCTCGTGACAAATACGGTAAGGCTATACCGGAGGTACAACAAGCATGTGCCGCTGCTGACTGAGTCTACGGAAAGCGAGAGGGCGCTGAGCACGGCAGCTTTACCTGCGCTACTCGACCAGCAGAGGCGGCTGGGCGAGGCCACTGCGACCTCGTGGTAATTATGTTTAATTTCTTGTGGCAAGTACGGTAAGGCTGCACTGAGTGTACAATGAGTATGTGCTGACTGAGTCTACGGAGTGCGAGAGGGTGCTGAGGATGGCAGTTTCACCCGCGTTGCTAGACCAGCAGAGGCGGCAGGGAGAGCCCAGTGCGACAATAGGTGAAAAGAACCTTGTTATGATCAAAAATAGGTGACTAAATTTTCTCAATCTGCTCTTTGTTTCGAAAGACATGAAGGATTTGGTCCCAGTTGCTGTTTGGGATTACTTTAAATGAAAATGTTAACAACAAACTTAAAATATCTAATAGGTCTAATTGTATAAATCTAAAGATTTTATTTTACTAGAAAATATCCACGTGAACCGGGCAGCTGACGGGACTCGAACCCGCACCCTTCGCGATAATCTTCGGCTGCAAGGCAGCGCCATCTCTTCGCATTGTAGGAAACTCACAATAATTGCCACCTAAGAAATGCTAGAGAAAATTAGACACGACCATCAGGGCCGCGGTAGCATAATAGTCGATGCATTCGCAGGGATAGCTAAGGGTGCGGGTTCGAGTCCCGGCTGCTCCCTGATATTCGTGGAATTTTTCTAGTATTTCTTTTCTTTTGATTTAAACATCTATTTGAGCAGGTAAATGTTTAAAAATAAAAATAGTATAAAAGATAACAGAAATAAATCATTTTCCAACTTAGTACCTACTTATGATAAATCTTACAAGTTACGTTAGTTGCAACAGAAAATGGAATGAAACATACATGTAAATAGGTATGACAATAACAATGTCCTTGTTTTACTGAAATGATAAAATATTTCCTCAAACCAAATGTATTTTAAGCCAACAACTAAAACTTAGTTTAGGTAACATTAACATTTTAACTAAAATGTTGTGAAATTAATTGTAGTAACAAATACAAAACGAAATACTTTTGGGGTGTGGTATAAATTAATTTCGGACTTTATTTCTTTCCAATGAGCAATAAATAAATAAAATTAACAAATAAATAGATGAAGCAGTATCGCATCAATTTTTTTTGGCCCCAAGGAAGATTGATAAGGCACATTAAATCAATAAAATAAATAAATATTTCCAACACTCCACAACACCAATTAGACTAGCCCCAAAGTAAGAACTATAAGGCTTGTAATGTAACCTATAATACAACATTATAGGTTATAGCAACTTTTCTACCTCACCCTTTTTTAGAGCTAGATAGATGTACTACTTCATCTGGTGTTAAGAAGTGGTAGAGTCCAGTATTTTGTTTTCTTTTTCCTATTTTTATTGTTAGACATACTTTCTTACTGGCGTTCTTTACTTTGTTCACGGAACATTGAATGAAGTTAATTCGTAGAATTAAAGTAAAATAATGAATGAATCTATATATTAGTGATAACAATATGTACGTTTGTGCACAGGAAGGGGATATTATTGGAAGTGGTGCAGCGAGGTGATTTTAGCACGGAGAAGTTCAGAGAGATCCAGAGCAAGATCGAAACGACCGTACAAAACATAAGGCCGCAAGATGAGTACAAGGAATTCCTAGAAAAGTACAGGTAATTTTTATTACAGATAAAATAATATATTTGTAGTAGGTACCCATAATACATACCTACTTATAGTTTCCTTTAACATAACCTCCTTAGGACGTAATTCAGCTATTAAAACAGACATCTGTAACTTGTCTTATGAAAACAACAACTAATTTTAGTTAAATTTAAAACTTTAACCGCCTTATTATAAAACGTAGACTGATGTTAAACCTGCACTTAAACTGATGCTATCACGTATTTTTGCTAAAAATTAGACGGTGGCAACGTTAGATTTAAACCAAGGCTAATTTTAGTCTGTATTTCTTTGTGACGACAACCTATGAAATATACTAGAACCATGAGTTTAGCAAGAATTTCATTCATAACTATAAGACAATCTTTCGCAGATCACCACCATCCACACCAGTAGTCTTTACGTTTGACGAAAGCCTAGTCGATGATACGAGTGGAAAGTTGCAGCCAAATCAATTGACCGTAGATAACTTAACAGTCGAATGGTTAAAAGAAAAACTCACCGAGTTAGAATCAACCCTTCAAGACAACAGAGAGAAGCAGACTGCACTACAAGGGCCGGAGATAATAGGCAATGGTGTCTGCAAGAACAATAATACTGGTCTTACGAATGGGGTCAATGGTATTGATAGGTAAGTCTAGTATAACACTATTATAAGCAATGAAATTTAGTATCGGTATAAGCAATGTTTAGTAAATGTTGTCATTTCGTAAATAATAAAAAAAAGTGATTAGGGACGAATGACTTGTGCACTGTATTATTGCGTACCTTATTATCGTATAATTTTACAGGCATTCACCACCACCAATTCCTGTAACGATATCAGAACCAGTGAAATTACTGGAACTCCGGGTAGCGGAGCGCAAATGTGCCAAACAAGCGGAAATGATCCGGTCAGCACTCGCTGAGCTTGGGTGTGAAGAAGCGCCCAGTGGCTGCCCAGACTTATCTGCAGAGACGGTCGGCGTGGACAGCCTGGATGGGAGTTCACCTGATCATCAGGTACGCTAAGATCATTCAAAATTCAAAGTTAATGCAAATGGTATCTGCAACAACAACACATAATGTGAACTTGAAGTTGTTTTTAACTCACGTTCAATTATCAGGACCGTTCATCACTCAACTCTAAAGCGTCGATGGACACTCTGCGGTTGCATCTCCATTCTATAATACCACCGAAGCCTTTCTTCAGGATATTCACGAGGCCATTCAGACGCAAATCTGTACCTTCTAGCCCTGCGCTACCTCCTAAGACATATAGGAGTAGCAGCGAGGGCCCAGCCGACACGGTAAAAGTACTGGCTCTCCCCAAGAGGCGGATGAAGCTATTGAAGCGCCGTTTGCGCAAACGCATGGACGTTTATGTGCATTGTCGTGTAGAAAGCCATGGTGTTTTCAGAAAGCGACGGAAAAGCTGCGCCTCCGTTGCTAAATGTCCTAACAGTGTGGTGAGTGTCATTAACCGCGTAGCAGACACGCGCATGGCATGCAAGCAGTGCATGATGCTTTTACGAGTATATCCACACTCGAAGCTACTCAGCAAATCCTGCGCGCGCAAGTTAAATTTAGCGGCACCGTGCACCGCACGAACTTCGCTCCGGAATAAGCTTTAGAATAAAATTAAAATAGCACAGACTCTCCCCAAAACTCAGTTTCAAAATCAAGGTGAAGTCGCATGCGACGTTCCAGAAATGTTACACTGTTTACGCGGCGTCCGCGCACGCATGTTATGCGGGATTTGCGTCAAATTCATCCTGTTTTTTTGGTGTTCACGTTGCCCTATCGGAATAAAAAGATAATAAAACATAACGATTATGATTATTGCGGGTTGTAAAGTCGTCAGATGTTGAGGAATGGATCCGTTCGCGATGTACATCACACGTTCGGAGTTACCGCCGCCAGTTGTCGTGCCACGGAGGAAGAAAAGATTGAAGCAACTACAACTTGAATTGGAGCAAGAACTTGTATGTCACGATGCTTTGAATGAATTTTTACTGTGTGTGATATTAAAGCTTAAAGTTCAAACCTGAAATTGATTAGACATAATTTACTGATCTTATATTTGGTTAGTTGATAAATTTATTAGTGATCGAGAAAACAATATGCTAATCAACTTCACGTTTGGATTCAAGCATGAGATTTAATATGGACATTATTTAGTTGTCTTTTTTTGTGTTCTTAATAACCAAGTTTTTTATCCATAATCTATTTAATTTGGACATATTTAACAACGAAACACCTTTTTATAAATTTTCTGAAACATAATGTTGTTTTTAATACTTAGTAAAAATAATGTTTTTACCGTCTCAATTAACTATCTTACCTAATGATATGTAAACATTAGCTGACATGATATGATCTTTCATGAGGAAATGGGCAACCTTATCTTATAAAGTTTGTTTCTCATGGGGTGGCAAACAAAAACTAGACCACGACACATTTAAAGACACACGAAGTAACATGGATGACTTTTAAAAAAAGCCAGTGATGTTGTTACATTTATTTCGTGTTACACTTTAACCTTCTGGTAGCCCTTAAAACTGACTGAAAATAATCAACAAGAATATTTAAATAAATCTTCCTTATGTCCATTTAGGTTAGCGTAAGTGAAACGGAGCGGACTTTAGTGGAGCAAGAGTGGTTCCACGGGGTGCTGCCGAGAGAAGAAGTAGTGAGGCTTCTACGAGCTGATGGGGACTACCTCGTTAGAGAGACGACTAGGAACCATGCAAGGCAGCTGGTGCTGTCTGTGTGTTGGGGACAGCATAAACACTTCATTGTACAGACTACGCCTGAGGTAAGTTGATCATTAGTTGTTAGAATGTCCTCAATGCTTCAGACGCTTTCCGAGGATGAACAGTAAAGATCGTTCAGGATGTAAGCTACGATTTGCAATTTCCCATTAATGTCAATCTTTTAACTTTAAAGATAAATTTTAACGTAGATATAAACAATTAGGTATAATAAAGAAAAATAATGAACTTAAATAGTATATCACTCTTTGTATAAGTAATTGTTATCGACTGACGTAAATCTAGAATGATCCGTGCTTCTTTGTTTAGTAATCAAACACTTTGTTTATGGATGTTCTGTCGTTTCCAACTACTACCCACGGAAGCTTTGGAGATTGTGATGATCCAGAAGTGTGACGTCACAGCTACAAAACAGAATAACGTATGGGCGTAGGTTTTTCCATTTTGGACTGATGACGTACAGACGATTATTATATACAAGTACCTGAACAATACCGAATTTATCCCATTGCAAGTTCCGTCAGTGCATACGAACTATCGTCAAAATAGTTATCTTGTACGTTCATGTCACTTATTCAATTAATTAGTAACAATGCGAATCTGGATATATTTTATGACAGTACTGCGGCGTTGAGGCGACTGGTTACTGAACCACAGTAGAACCCGTACAGTCCAAAACAAAACTATATCTACTTTCTTACTTATTTTCACTTATTTGGCAAGCAATAGAATAAGACAAGGCATTAGCCGCATCTGTTTGGCAAGTATTTTGATGACAATGATGCGTGTAAGCATATGCGTAAAAGCAACCTGTAATTAGTTCGTTTTGTATGGTATTCGACATATCGTTGACTATGATAATTTAGCGTTTGTCTATCTTCAAAAGAATAAATAGTGTTATATGTACAATTAAAAATCGGTAATACGCCAAAACATGCGAATGAAAAACGTCTGTTGAACTTTCGCCGTTTGAACTAAAGTAGTAGTTAATGTACCAAATAGTTAGTTCCCAAGTTCCTTTAAAGCCGTTAATGGGACTTTGTGAGTATTGTACCTACCCCGTTTATATTCAGCCGTTAATTAATATAGCACATAATTTGGGGAAAGCCCACATTTTTACAGGTCACTTAGTATTTAGAACCACAAATTATACATTATACATATAATTTAAGATTTTATCTTCGCTCCGGGTCGTTTTTGGCAGAAAAGACTGTCAGCAAGCACAATGGGCACCTTTGCGCCAGGAACGCCACGGGGTGATATTTGACGATATTTAGATTAATGGAATTGAATTTTATTAGTTAAAAATGAATTAAGTATATAATTATATATTTGTTCGTATATAAATTGTTATAAAATTAAAACAGATTATGTTGTACTTATGTATTAATAAAAAAAATAAAGATAACTAACATCGATTATTCCCTATAAATAAATAAATAAATATAAATATATTTCCAACACTCACACCAATTAGCCTAGCCCCAAAGTAAGCACTATAAGGCTTGTGTTATGGGATACTAGGGTAACGGATAGATTACTTAAACTTTACATATATAAGTATATTTATATAGAAATATATATTAAACATCCATGACTGGAGTACAAATACTAGTGTTCATCACACAAACATCTGCCCCCACCGGGATTCGAACCCGGGACCTCTCGAGTCGGCGACGCCATGAAACCCGGCATACAAACCACTCGGCCACGGAGGTCGTAGGTCTATAGGTAGCGCTGTAGTCGGGTTTTAGGATTTTTGATATTTTTATCGGTCAGGATAACCCCTATCGGTTCCGCTAGCAGGATACAAGACATAAAAGCATATGTGTGTGCATTAGTGATATAACGAATATTCACATTCACATTTGCGAATACTAAAAAAATGTCATTCATTACATCAGCAGTGTGCATCGTTCCAGGGTCACTACCGGTTCGAGGGCGCGGCGTTCCCCTCAGTGGCGGAACTGATAGCGTGGCAGCGCACTAGTGGCGTGCCGGTCACCGCGCGCTCCGGGGCGCTGCTGCGGCGAGCCGTACCGCGCGAGAACTGGGAGCTCAACAACGACGACGTGCTGCTGCTCGACAAGATCGGCAGGGTGAGGCAATACACACAGTGAACGGGGAGCTGCTGCGGTGGGACAGGCCGCGCGAGAACTGGGAGCTCCACAACGACGACGTGCTGCTGCTCGACAAGATGGGCAGGGTGAGACAATACACACAGTGAACAAGGCGCTGCTGCGGCGAGCCGTGCCGCGCGTGAACTCAGAGCTCAACAACGATGACGTGCTGCTGCTCGACAAGATCAGCAGGGTGAGACAATACACACAGTGCACGGGGGCGGCTGCTGTGGGCCATGCCGCCCGAGAACTGGGAGCTCAACAACGACGTGCTGCTGCTCGACAAGATCGGCAGGGTGAGAAAATACACACAGTAAACGGGGAGCTGCTGCGGCTGGCCATGCCGCGCGAGAACTGGGAACTCAACAACGACGACGTGCTGCTGTTCGACAAGATCAGCAGGGTGAGACAATACACACAGTGCATAAGGCGCTGCTGCGTCGAACCGTGCCGCGCGAGAATTGGTAGCCCAAAAACGATGACGTGCTACTGCTCCACAAGATTGGCAAGGTAAGACAAAAGACACAGTGAACAGGGCGCTGCTGCGGTGAGTTGTGCCGCACGAGAACTAGGTGCTCAACAACGACGACGTGCTGCTGCTCGACAAGATTGGCAGGGTGAGACAATACACACAGAGAACGGGGCGAATGCTACGAGCTGCGCCGCGCGAGAACTGATAATTTTTGGATATTCAAGCTCTACGGAATTGAAACTCCCTATTCGAATGTAAGTAAATAATGATGTTTAAAATTTGTGCTCGCAGGGGAACTTCGGAGACGTATACAAAGCACGCCTGAAGACCACGGGCCAGGAGGTGGCGGTGAAGACGTGCCGCGTGGCCTTACCTGAAGAACAGAAACGCACGTTCCTGCAGGAGGGGCGGATATTGAAGCAATATCAGCACCCGAACATCGTGCGGCTCATCGGCATCGCAGTGCAGAAGCAGCCCATTATGATCGTCATGGAACTCGTTTCCGGTAAGATTGTCACACGATAATTTAGTCAGCATCATCTGCTGATGACAATATCTGATAATTAGCAGTAATAAGCCCAGTTCGTTTACATGAACATAATTTATTAATGATTGTGATTCTATATAAGAATGCACGTTCTAAAGTAATTAAAGAAACTGATTTAAATAAGCAAATTACTTCAAGCTATTTGCTAGCTCAAATCTATCTCTACAATACAGTTGCACTGTACAGTTCTGAATACCAGGAAAACAACAAGACAGAATCTGCAAGGTGAATGATAATAATTTGAGGTTCTTGGCAGTTCTTCTTAGCACCTTCAAATTTTGCCCCCGTGGACTTGCGTGTGCATTATTGATACTGGTGGAGTAGCTTTCTGATATGCACAATGTCTTGTAACTTATTCTAGTCCACGATTGAATTATGATTTTCAGTTTGAGTTTAACTAGTCAAGGTGGCGCGTAAGCATGATATCAGCAGCTGTGTAATATATGTATTTTAAAATTCCCAGGCGGTTCTCTCCTAACGTTCCTGCGAACGCGTGCGTCCACTCTGAGCTCTCGCTCGCTACTGGCGATGTGTCGCGACGCCGCGGGCGGCATGCGCTACCTCGAGTCCAAGAACTGCATCCACCGCGACCTCGCCGCGCGCAACTGTCTCGTCGGCGACGACAACATCGTCAAGATATCCGACTTCGGCATGTCGAGGGAAGAGGAGGAGTATATAGTTTCCGGGGGCATGAAGCAGATACCTATCAAATGGACCGCGCCTGAGGCACTCAATTTCGGTAAGTTACATGTAGAAGCTTGTATAAACATACACTGATGAGTGCAACTGTCTCGTCGGCGATGACAACATCGTCAAGATTTCCGACTTCGGCATATCCAGGGAAGAGGAGGAGTCTATAGTCTCTGAGGGCATGAAGCAGATACCTATCAAGTGAACAGAGGCACTTTATTTAGTGGTATAGGAAAGTATTTCCTCAAAACTATATTCATACAAAAGATCCCAGTGACATGACACTACCTTTTGGTGGTGTTGTATTTAGGTGGGTAGAGTAAGGAATAGGGAAAGGTAGGCTTTGGGTAGGCAGGGGAGAGCCCGACATAACTCACCAGTTTTCAGTGAGCGGGTATGCGTCAGGCATTTCTCCCGCGGAAAAAAGGGTAGGTTACTGTGCGAGTAATTTTGTTTTGATATCATAAGTGTCGATAAGCTATGATGGCAGTTTGCCATCGGCGGGCCAAAAGTTTATTAACTTCCCTTTTACATAAAAAAATAGACTTCAACATATCAAGTCCATTTTTCTTTGTAGAAAAGTATCTATAAATAAATATGTAATTCATTCTTAGTTAATTTAATAGGTAGGTCTGTATAATCTGAAAAATGTGCGAAATTAACTTAGGAAAAGGTCTAAGACAAATAATTTAAGACAAAGACTTTTTCAGGAAAATATACTTCCCTTTGCGACGTGTGGAGCTACGGTGTGCTGATGTGGGAGATATTCTCCAAAGGGGACACTCCATACGCTGGCATGAGCAATTCCCGCGCCAGGGAGAAGATCGACACTGGTAAGCACAGTTGTAACTTTTGTAAATGAAGTCGTGACTACTTTCATGCCAAGAAAACAGGAAATAGAGGCAGAAAGTCGTGATGATTCTTTGAAAATCTTGAAGTGAATGTGAAGGAATTTAAATATTCAATTTATTGTCATAATTACCTAATTCTTCTTTAGCCCGTATCTATCTGTCCGCTACTGGGTATAGATCTTCACCATGTTGCGCCAATTTAAAGTTTTTGTCAGGCTAAGATCCTTGAACACAGCAAAAAATAATTTTACCTGTTTTTCGTCTGTACTGTAACATATTTCACAATTTCGTTTTTATCTAATTTTGTTAACTTAGCTTTCAACTTTCATGACGACGAAGTATGCGCAACACGTATCGATAAGTGCATTACAATCATTTCTATTAATCGGTTGTTTTCCTTATCATTACGTAATATCATTAACAATTATCAGTTTCTAGCATTTTATATGATATTCTTTAATAGGCTTAATGTGGAATATTTCCCCACATCGTCCATCGAAAAATTATAAGTAGAATCCATATCTACTGTTTTGCACGCCTCACAACGCGTAAGCGTATGGGAGTACTTTACTCTCGATAGGCCGCTATGTGACGATTTTACAATATAAAATCGCTCTTGATTATCTCCCAAGTTTATAAGATAGGTTTCATGCTTGGACTCTACAATATTGGGTTCAGGCCGGCAAAATGAGGGTAGCTGGAGAGCAGGATGAGTTAAAATAAAGACACTAAATCAATAAAAAGGGGTGTTTTGAAAACTAGACATATTAAATTATAATGTTAATTTTTTTAGTATAAGTATACAACAAAAAAATGTAGTTAAAAAATTATTAGTACTGCTGTCCGTTGGTCTGTACACGTGTTTGTCTGCACGTTTTAGAAAAATATACGCATGTAATTGTAATAAATCCTTTTGAATTAATTTCCACTTATACTGAGGATGAACCCTATTTCTTATCATGATTGAACTGATAACCGTTTTAAAGATATTAATGAAATTCAATGGAATTTATTAACTGGGTTTCTGTTCCGTTAATGTGAGGCGTGCGCTTTTGGATTTTCCAATATTTTTTTATTATTATTATTTAAAAGCTATTATGAAGAAGCACTTACGACATGTTCTTTAAATTTTCTCCTAAAATTGTGTTACAGGATACAGAATGCCAGCGCCAGAAGGTTGTGCGGAGGACGTATACGCTTTGATGCTTCGTTGCTGGGAATATGAGCCAGAGAAGCGACCGCACTTTCACCAGATATACACTATCATAGATAACATTTACAACAGATAGCCACAGATTATATGTAAAAGAAGGAAACGTGTTGATGAGACTTTTTAAAGAAAAGTGAAAATGGGTAAAACTACGGAATGGATTATTTTGCCACATTATGCTGGCGTAGTGATTGTGGCACAGGAAGGGGCACATGATATAGAAATACTTATTACAGGAACTGTAAATTATGGAGATAAATATCCAATGACTTTGCCCAGCATACTACTGGCGAACAATACTCTGTATAGGTGGTGTAATTGTAAGACTTTCTTGGCCTTATTGCATACAAGTTAGGCAGCCATTCTACGAGAACTTAAGAAGAAAATGACATTCAAAATTTGCCTTAATACAACAACTTTGTGGTACAACTCTCTATCTTTTATGCTTTACGAATTCTTACTCTTAACTTTTATTTTTATTTTCAATTTTATTATTTTCTGCTACGTTTTTCATTTATCTCGATACTTAAATAGTCTTGTCTGTCAATTTCTATGTTTTGTAAACTTTATAATTATACTTTTCCCGATGTTTCCAAAGCTTGTGTGTGTAAATTGTTAAAAAAACAAAGAGCACGTTTGTTGCCCGGGTTACACGAGTCTAGTTTCTCATACTAGGATAAATATAGGATACAGCTAGTGGCAGTAAGCTTTCAAGTTAGTAATTCTGGCTTCGTGCAGACAAAACTAGCTTCATTTCTGAGCTAATACGCTAGCAAGATAGTTTACAAGCCAGGACAGTTTTTAATAGGACGGAATTCTAGTTTTTAGGCCAGTATGGCCCCCGCCGCTGATTTTACTATTCTGGCTTGTGTACTAACTTTATGTGGCCGGCGTAGCCAGTTTTCAGTTCAATAGTAAGCAGGAACCACGCGTTTCGTTTTTTTGTTCTAGCAGCTGTATTATGAGTTTTAGTCTTAGGGTCCTTTTAATAAAATTCAACAACATACAATAAAAAAAAATATGGATATTACAGTAAGTACACATTATTTTACACACGATGGTGGTTCTTTTGAGGTCTATCTTATCGGCATTGGTTTCCACACACTTTACCTTGTCTAGCGCGATTGGCACAGTTTTCTAAACTGTTTCAGTCGAATAGTTTATTTTTTCGCATGCTCTTCATTTTGGATGTGTGGTCAACTCAGTCACTGAAATAGTACTAGCTTAAAATAAACTAGCCTGATGTAATAAATAATCAATCCTCGTGTAGCCCGGGCAGTCTTCAAAATACGTATTTAGTCGTAGTAACCTCTTTTTAATTAATTGTTGTATTAAATTTTGATCTTGTGCTTTCAAAACTTCGATTTATTAAATGATAAGTCTTTTTACGTCTCTTGTGTTGGATGTTTGTATGTAAATTATCAGATACTGTTTGTAAATTTGTGAATGAAATGTTGATCTCTTTCGAATGTCGTGTATTTTGTTTATAAACTTAATTTGATTATTATGAATTATCATTTTAAGTTTCAATTGTAATGATTGATAAATCTAAAAAAACTTCCTTTACCCTCTCAGGCAGTGCTGTTGGTAAATGTCATTGTTGTAAAAGATTATTCCGATATTGAAATCCTTAGGAATTAGCTTTCACACTATGCATAGAGTTCAATAATGTGGTGATTTTAGCATAATCAGTAAACCATCCTCGAAACTGTAATCATATATTAAAATAGATTGTCTTATGTTAAGTTCGGATCTCGTATGCTTGCTGTCATATGCACTCGCTTCAAACTTCCCCAATGCTTATAAGTAGTGAAAAATCGTACGGTTGTGTTGGTTCAACTACAGCAACAAATAGGCTCAGTTAGTACCAAAGTATGGGAGTAATAATAAGATTCACTATTGACATACACCTTACATTCAACATGACCGTGAAAACGTACACAATAGGCGGCCTTATTGCTAAACCGCAATCTCTTCCAGGCAACCCATGACAGTGAAATAAATAAATAAGAGGAACAAGTAGGAAAAATTTAATAAAGAAATCTCGGAGTAATACGAATAGGAGATCCGACTATAGTTTTCATAACATTACTAAGAAACTACATGTAAGTTATATCAAATGTTAATACATATTGTGAGATTTTTAACGATTACCTTGTTATATACCGAATGAAAGTATAATCTCGAGTATTTTTATATTTTTTAATATTTTATATGAAATCGTAGTATTGAAGTATTTTTTAACGTGTTTTGTGGCAATTGATTGTGATAGTTTGTAACAGTGCTTCCAAATTAATACTTTTCCAATACATTAATTAAGAAACTTATTATAATTATATAACCTTGGGGTGCTTGCTAATCACACTTGGTACTGAATATTTGAATTTTTAATTCATAAATTATCGATTTGTTACTAGTTGTGTCAGAGCTACCCCAAAGGTCTTGCCTGAATATTATCAAGATAAAGGATATTTGTTATGTTGTTAAAATGTAACACAAAGTGAGATATGAATACTAAAGTTTATTGAATGTTTAGTGAGTACCTATACTTATTATTTAGTTTAAGAATGAAATGTGAATGTAAATATTCTTTTCATGTCATATTCAATAAAGTGCCAGATAATTTTGGATTCAATATAAAGCATTCGTTTTTTTAATGATCATCCTTAAAAAACATATCAACAATATCTACCTTGAAAAAAAATTTGAGTAAACTTGAATTTAGTAAATAGAAGTGTTTTGGAGCTGAGTATCATATATTTTTACCCGGATATGCTAACAGCATTATAACTTTACGAATTTAGATACCTGCAATAGAGCAGCGATGATCGCGCGTATCTGCAAGTGAACAAGAAATTACGCGCCTATGAAATTAATGATCAAAGGTTTTTGACAGCTCGTAAAGTATTTTGTATGGAAAATCTAATTCGTTCTTACGTCCGATAGGGGCGCTGCTTAATTATCATAGAAACTCGACGATGACGATACGATTACTGTCAAAATTCCACACCAGTCAGAGTCTGACCAGTGGGACATCTTCCTTACAGTCCTGATTTGGCTCCGTGTGACTTCTTTGTATTCCCCAAAATAAAAAAACAGCTCAAAGGTATACAGTCATCGACGTGGAAGGGGTGTCTGCGGAGGACTGGAAAAACTGTTTTGAAAATTGGTTCAGACGCATGAAACTTTGTATAGAGGCTGGTGGAGAGTTCTTTGAAAATATTTTGTTATAGAAGTTAGTTTTTTAGTTTTACAAAACTTTCTGAGTGTCCCACGTATCGTAAAACACTAAGATTTCCTAAGGTGTTTCGAATCAGTTTCACTGCATGGCATGGATCGATGAAACAATAAACATGATCATCATCGGTTTCAAAGTACGTGCGGCCACTGACTTGCATTAGGTTACATCCGAGGCTGTTAAACATGCTGAAGTTAGCAGCAGGTCCATCACAAGTAAAGCTAATAATTTTCACACCAACTACTTTAAATTTTTGCAAACATATTTGCAAAAGTATAGTTTTTGATCACCGTTCAAGCTGATTATTATAAAATAAGCTTGCCGTTAATACAGTTTATAAGAAAGACCAGACTTTGACTAGCCACTTCGACAGAATCACTTCCAATGTCAATCCCCGTATTAACGCGACCATAATATTTTTGTGATCGAGGATCCCAACAAAGTGATTTTCTTATGGTCATTGCGTCGAGAATCAGTGCGCAAATGACAAGATCCTAATTAGAAGTTACTTTGGCTTTACCTTTAGCAGATTTTTTTTCGAAGTTATATTAATCTTGTCCCCTCAAAAGGAGTATTGAAGTGAACCTTGAACACTTGTCTTTTATATACTTGCTCATGTACATGTATTTTGTATATTGTTTACTGGATATTTCGTGGCTTTTGTATATTTATTTAAAATATTATTTAAAATTATGTGACGGAAGTTGACCTCAATACATGTTTATAATTTTGATGTCAGTTTTCAATTTGACGACACTGTATGAAATAAAACAGGGAGAAAAAAGCAGCCTATGTTTTTGCCGGTTCTTCTCAGTATAGAAGGTCTCCCGCCGCGCCGTAGATTTGCGAACCGACGGCGTGCTTTCGACTTTCATATGGGCTTGTAAAAGCCTTGACGGAATAAATGAATATTGTTTTTTTTTTAATTTTAACATCTGAAATAAATGTTTATATCTAACACTTGAATTTTTTTTTAAATAATATAGCATCGATATAGTGATTCCGGCCATACACCCTCCTCACGCAAAACAGGCGCCATAAGGACGTCGAGTTGCGGAAACGCCCGTAGTAAGAAGAAGAACAAGAAGATAGCATCGATATGCCCTTGAGTTACTTTTAGTTTCATCATCATTAGCCTATAATGTCCCTACTGCTGGGACACAGGCCTTCCCTATGGATGGAATAGGGAGATTGGGCCATGTTACTTTACTTATTTTACTTTTAGTTTTATATTGTAATAATGTTTTTATTAAAGTTAATAAGCCTTTATCATAATGTGCACATGCAGTCGAATAACGAAAAGGTTTGTGAAATTTACTAAGCGATTTCTTATTGCTGTCCTTGTACTTAATAACAGTGGTAAAATTTAATTTACGTTGAATAAAATTATCTCCGATTGTTTCCGAAATTCAAATTATTATGTATATTTGTTTGACCCTTTAAGCTTTGACCACAGCAAATAAAACATAACATCGACAAAAAGTATCGACTAAAGTCGTTCTTATATAAAACCTACATTACGAAAATCAAGTATGAGTATTGAAGCAGCAATAACATCACTGAATCAACCATTACCTATTAAGTGTTCAATAATTATAAAACAGATTTCAAGGCCGTCTCGATGTTTATTATTTAACAATTGCATGAGTGCCGTATCTTCCTTTTTTGATTCAATCTATGTAGCAATGTAAAGATGATGATCCTTTTCTTCAGTGGATCACGCGCGCTGGCCTACGTTGCCACGGACTTACTGTAGTAACTATTCTTACACGAACAAAGAAATTTTGTGACTCATTTCTTTGTCGCACTATTCGTAAGTGGAATTCTTTGTCCGCGCACGTGTTCCCTCCTGCCTACAATCTGGGGTCCTTTAAGAAAGGCGTGAAGAAGATTTTTTGCAGGCCGGCAAGGTGAGGATGGTTGGTGCGGCAGTTTATAAATGCTATACCAGCTATCTTCCCGTTTGGACTATAAAGTCCACCACTTAGCATCAGGTGGGGTAGAGCCATTTGCCTACCTGGCTATATAAAAAAAAAACATTCTACCATTGTTAGATGCCGTCGATCGAAAATCAATAAATTAAATCACACTCAACAATACTTTTTAATGAAAGAGTTATATAATATAAAAAGTTTATTTTATAAAATGTAAGTACATATTTACAAATACAGTTTTATTAGCTCGTCACTGACAGCTGATGGCGTTAGAATACCTAAGTCAGTGAATAGTAATGTTATGTATGCTGGTGGAGTGTAGTCTACCAAGGGATGTTGCTTCTTTAGATCTTTACCTGATTTCAGAACACTGGAAAGGTATTTAAACTCATTGGGCAGGTCTTGTTGATTGAGAGGGTATATTCTTGAGAATTTGAAACTCTCTGTTAGAACATAAACTGGCTTCTTGAGTTCTAAAGCAGCTATTCCTAGACCGTATGTTCCAATCTGTTAACAATACGTGACATCATCAATTACAATTCAAGGTTATTATTTGAGCTTGGTAATTATTGGAACTCCATAAAAAAAAAAATTAAGGATTATTTAAATTGGAAGTTTATCCACTAATCTTTTGCTTACTTTACAAGTTCATTATTAATTAATTGAGAGATGTACTTCTATTGTATATCTATTTAATTTCTGATACACAATATCCCATTTGATCTGTCCTATTGTTTTGTACACCTGTATTATATTGTTCATGTAACACCCTATTAATGTGTGAAGCCCTTGAATTTTTATTTTCTTTATTCTATGTCTTGGTTTTTTTCACCTTTTAAGATGACAGATTAATATTTTTCTGTTTGAAAACGGTTACGAGAACCCTCCAGTAGTTTTCATTAAAAAAACTGATGATTTGGATGAGACCAAAAGTCTAGGCTATTTGTTTTTTGCTGCCCTAGACGTTTGGCTCTATATTGAGGGCTCAGGTATAGTGGAAGTACTACACAAAATGCAAGTTAATCCAAAAATCCCTGCTTGGGATTTGATACTATTAATTTAAACTATTCGCGACAGCATTTACTACTTTGACTTATGATTGACTCAACAAAATTGAAAGGTTTCAGTACTCACCTTGTTAATAATACCTCCACTTTCAGTGACGCCTTCAGCACCAACCATAACAATATCAACTTTTTCCATAATGTAGCCTACTGCAGAATCCAATATTAAGGTAGCGTCAATACCCTCTGCTAACAATTGTTTGTGCATTAATTCACTGCAACAGATATTTTTTTAAAGAATTACACTTTACATACATTGCACTTTAGTTAAAATCAATATCTAATACTGTATTTTTTTAGAAAATCTATGTATGTAAAGACAGTAATAATATCACTAACCCGCTATTATCAGGACAAGACATTGTAACATAGACTTCAAATCTTTTATTCGCCCTTGCAGCTTCTACCATTGCTTGTAATACTACTCTAGACCGAGAGTGGGTTAATATTCTCTAAAATTAAAAAGCATTTAATTGCAACAAGATTACTTTTAAAACAATGTTATAATAGCATTATAAAATCTGTGGTAATGTTAAATAGTAGAGAAGAGACATATTAATCTAAACATATAATAAAATGGTAGGAAAGTCAAAACTGTACATTGAATACCTATTATAAGAATACTTGGGGTGTGATCTACAAACGATACCGATAGCCAAAAATATAGTTTTTAGAATTTTTGTCTGTTTGTCTGTATGTAATTATGTATGTCCAGGATAAACTCAAAAAGTACTGCATGGATTTACTTCCAATTTGCCTCAAATATTATTAAGAATTTGGTTCAACATATAGGCTACATATTATCACTCTATCACCTACGGGAATGAGCAGTGATCCTTTATTACTAACTAACTCCACTTGTATGAAGTTCGCGGGCGGCCCCTAGTGACTTAATAAATGATTTGTGATTGTGAATCAACTTACACAGCCATCGCTAATAAAAGGTAGAGCTTGCTTTGCTACTTTCCCTCTTGCTTCAAGCAAAGTATCTAAAAATATTCGTCCTCTTTTTAACATTATCTGTTCACATTCTTCAAAAGACTGTAGGAAAGAATACCATAATTATTGTACTAACTTAGTCACCAACATAAAGAAACTAATTAATATTTAATTGGCTGCAAAAATATTTATAAAATAATTCTTGCTTTACATAAGATAGGTATTATTGTTTTTATTTACATTAAGGAAGTAAGCTTGTGATGATAAAACTTACTTTAACATCTAATTTTGCGAAAGTGATAAACCTCATAAATAATTCACATCCTGAGGAAACAGCCGTTACTGGCTGGTCACAGTTTCTCATTGCATCCACAGCCAACTGAAGGTTCAAATCTAGCTCTCTTACCGTTGCCACTAAAAAATATTACAATCACTTTAATCCACTTGGTAGTCTCATCACAAATTACCTATAATAAAGTTGTAATAATGTAGCTTTTACCTTTGTAATTTTCTATTACAGTCAGAAGCGTTTTTATTGCAGCAACTCCAGCAGAAACATCTTCCTCTTCTCTCAATATTTTAAGAAAAATATCTTGAACTTCTGTAATCCGAAATTTGTAAACAGAACTTAAGTATATGTTTAGGGCACGATGTAGGGACTATTTACATTGTATACAAAAATTCATTAAATAGAACTTCAGTTTATTTTACCTTGTTTCTTCATTTGGGCCATTTTGGAAGTAAATTGATATACTTATTTTATGATTTTCTTGAACAAATCCTAACCTATTTTTTATTGAGTTGTCACGGCAGTAGCTGTCTTTACTCTTTATGACACAAACTGTCAATGTCATGTCAGTTGAAGTTATAATCTATAACATAGTTTAAGGCTGAGGATATCATGTCCACTCAGACCAATCCAGTCTACAAACTGAACCGCGCCAATTTATTTTCCCCTTATTTAAAATTTTAAACATGGCTGATAATGTTTTAAAGTTATAAATCAATTTCTTCCTACTCATAATCCACAGTCCATTTGCGAATCAACATGAATTCAACTAGTCTGTTACACACACAGCCAAAATACCAGGTGTTAATGCGCATGCCGACCTTATTTATCTTATTCCCTACTCCATGGAGCTAGTACTTACATTGTTTTTACTTCCTCTTCAACCTATCTGTTCGGTGCAGGAGGTTATACCTGCTTACATCCTCTGAGAAACACTCCAAATCGATATCTCAAACCTCTACGGCCTTATTAATAAATGAGGAATAAGTTTGAATTAGTTACTCCATGTTTTGTCTCTGTTCATTGAATGACAAACTGCATTTGAGTGATACGAACAAAACACGGCGTAACTAGTCTAAGCTTATTCCTCGTTTATTAATAAGGGGGCTAGATTCTAGGTCGTCATAATAAAACTATACACGGTGGAGACTAAGTACCTAATAATTTATTACAATTCAGTAAAACAGTAATATCAAGCAAGTATCAGTATAACAGTATATCGCCGGGGCAATGATCCTAAAATATAGTAAACTGTAGTTGGGCACATAATAGGTTTTACTGGCCTCACTGGGTAGTTTTTTTTTTATATTTTATTTAACGTGCTACATTCGATTTGTTCGAGGAGCTCGATAGCGCAGGTCGTTAGTGCGTTTAGTGGATAGTGGATGTTAAGCAACTTTCGCAATGGACGTTCATTGGATGGGTGACCAAAAGCATAATATCTTGAGCTCCTCCGTTCTTCGGCAGGTTTCGGCGTCACGTTAAGCCGTTGGTCTCGTCTGCATCTCCAGTCGTTAGCATCCAGCAATCAGCACTGGGTCATGGCCCAATCTTCCTTTTCTATATATAGGGAAGGCCTGTGCCTGCGCCCCAGCAGTGGAGACATTAAAAGGCTGATTAGAATTTAAAGAAAAAGAATTAAAAGGAAGAAAAGATTAAAAGGTTAGGGGTACTATATAGTAGCCCTCTCGCTGCGGAGCATGGTGGAGGCCATGCTCCCCAGTGACAGGGCATGGGAGGCGGCCGAGAGGGAGCGGGAGGATGATCCTCTGGCCGCTCCCTCCCGCCGAAGGAGGACGGGTAGGAGAGGACGGCGACGCGCCCTGGCTGCGCCCGTCCCATGACCCTACCCGGGGGGTCCCTCGCTGACCGGCATGGCGTTGGCTGTGCCGGCCACCGACGGACCTCGTGACGGCAGCCCCCCCTTGTAGTTCTGTCCTGCAAAGAGGGGGGCGGCGGAGGGAGCTACATGGGCACGCCCAAGTAGCCCTCCGCAGCGGACGGGGGGCGGTACGGTGGGCATTAGGCCGCGTACTCAACCCCCACGCGCGGGCCTACCTGCGCACGTCTGCGGGGTCCCCGTGATACCCCGGGAGACCCCTGCCGTGGAGCCCCGGCTAGGCCGGGAGGCTGCTAGGTGCGGAGACGCGGAGGAATCCCTAAACGGGGATCCCGCGGCTTCGCGCTAAGCAGCTTAGAGGGTATTCGCAGGACTTTTTTAGCGGATATTATGCCGTAAAGCGCCCGTAAAAGTTGCGGGGTCCTCGGTGGACAGCCACTGGGGCGCCCGTAAGACTTGCGGAAGCCAGGTGTGAGGTCCGTTCGGCGGTGTGCCTCTTAAAGGCGCCGTCGTCTGTAAATAGCATTTTTTACCTGCGTAATAAAAAAAAAAAGGGGTACTATATAGTAATAATATCCCGTTGAAAATTACATAAAGCATTACATACTTACGTAGTATTTACATCACGTTGGTTATGTTGAAGTTAGCATGCAGCATTGTTTGTTTATAGGTAGCGTAGAAAATGAAAAGTGATAACGGAAAATATCATTCGCATTTTCTACAGATTGATGAACACAGTACAAACATTAACCACACACGCTTATGTATGCAGGTACTTACTTAATTACTTACATTATTACACACATATTTGTAGCATCGTACAATCTGGCGCCCCGATCCATTTACGATTTGCATTCCCCTCCCCTCTAGAATTAGCAAATCACATCAAAATATGTGTCAGTAATGAATACTTTTATAAGGCTGCTGCCGCCCCTCAGTTCGCAGCTCTTCCAGCCGTCCTTCAGAGCTCTTCCAGCCGTCCTTCAGAGCTCTTCCAGCCGTCCTTCAGAGCTCTTCCAGCTGTCCTTCAGAGCTCTTCCAGCCGTCCATCACAGCTCTTCCAGCCGTCGATCACAGATCTCCCAGCCGTCTCTCACAACCTGCCGACCTGGTAAATATGCCCCTGTTTACAAGTCAGGGAGTGGAACTTGCTTATAAGAAGTGTTGAGATGATATTAGTGCCATTAGACACTGGCTAAGCCATTTTAGTAAGAAAAGAAAAACTTTACAATACAATATCTAAATAATAAAAAACCGACCAAGTGCGAGTCGGACTCGCGCACCGAGTGTTCCGTAGAAACCTGTAGGTATATTTTAATAAATATTAAAAAATATTTTTTGTTATAAGGTGTAACTAAAAATTTACGGTTTCGCAGTAATTAAATTTTTTTCCTTTATCTGTACTATAAGACGTTACTTTGTACCAAATTTCAAGATTCTAAGTTCACGGGAAGTACCCTGTAGGTTTCGATTCCCGTGCGAGTTTCGAAAATTTGCGGCATAAACGGTTTGATTACGCTTTTGATTGCTTTGGCTTAGAAGTTTGATTTTTTTACAGCTCCAAGGGACAGTAGCCCTGAGTATTAGATATGAATTTCAGTTTGATACCTTGTAACAATTTTTGTTATCACCGGCTATTTCAGGGCTTACATGAGACTCGAAATTTATTTAATTTATAATCAGGGCGCCGTAATACTGTGATTTGAGGGAGATAAATGAAAATGTCTAAAACCGCAGTGAACAAGATATTATATTGTCAAAAAAGATTCAGATCTTATTTCATCATGGTTAAAACTTAATACTAGTCACATTCAAGTTAATAAATACATAGTTATATTTCCTCAAAGATTTTTCTTTTGATTTAAAGATATTCATACATTCAAGATCATGTGCTAATACAGTAATACTCAATTTAAGTTTCTTATATAAACAAATTATTAAACAAGTTATAAAATATTAAGTTTTGAAAATTTAACAATAAAAATTTGTTATGTTCTTATAATGGCTTTACAGTTTACCAATAGAAATCCTTTATCACGTTAAACAGAAATTGTTCTCCGGAGTATGCACTGGTTAAATATCAAGAAGTTATAAGTTTTACTTAGCTTGGCAAGATCATGGGAGCATCAGGATGACTCAAATGTCCTCAGGGATGAAGCAGGACTTGCTGTCATCACGTGAACCCGTCACTTTTTGCTCAAGAAAGCTTCACAGGCTCATATATATATATATTTCCAAGGAGATTCCAATCAGGATCAAGTAATTGTGATTATTACTGTTATTAATTAGCCAAATTAATGGACCTAGAACCAATTACACATATTTCTATAATTCAATAAAAAAAAACTAACTGGACCTACAGCCTAACGAATCAAATGTATTGAACTTACCCGTTAATCCGGGGAGAAATATCAAGTATATAATGCACTGACTACCACTGCTAGTCTTAATGCTATTTTCTAAGTATGGTCTTCAAGGTTCTATCAGCCAAAAGAGAGCGAATTTGGTTGTGCACTGCTATTTATAGGCTACTACAACACGTGACAGCGTCATTGCAAATTTCTCTCATATCACCATATTTGGTGTGAGGAATCAAACGGACCGGTTTTGCTGACTCCGCCTCTCAATGTTTCCAGAACATTAATGTGACGTCACATCCAATTTTGCATCTCATTAAAAAAATTTACACACTAGCTCCCTCTAACTTACATTCCAAATGCAACTACTAGGTTCACACATATATTGTACTTGTCCGTTGCTTTTCAAAGTGGACTTTGATATTGAATAATTTATATGCATGATGATAGATGGCGCTGAATAAATAATAATATTTCTACGACTTAATATTTAAGAATTATATTGCTATGTTTTAACGTTATTAAATTTAATTGCTACACAACATCCCCCTTATCTCAAAAAATTTTTCCCAAAAAAATTTTTTTTTTTAATTAATTAACCTGCAACTGACTTACAGACAAATCAACAATACCAAGTATTAGCCAAGATAAAAAAATTTAAACTTATATACGTGAGTATCCATTTATTTACTCCACGTAATGTTCTAAACTCTAAGTCAATAGCAACAATTAAATATTTGCTGTTTAATGATTTTTCTTTTAGTTTCATGTAAATACCTTTCTTGGATCTAATATCCAGTGGTATAACATGACTTTTCTGTTCATCTTATGAACTTAAGGTAGTTAAGAAAACAACTCAAGATTAAAGAAGTTTGTATGTTTTCAAACTCAAAAGATTAAGATTATTTTCCAACAATCTTCCTATCTTTAATTATCAAGTCTAAAGTATATGTCCACTTCCTTATGCTTATGCCTTTCTTACATCAAGACCTATTTTTCTATTAAGTATTAAAATAAATTGCACGTGCTTATTTTGGAAAAAAAAAACTTTTCATACATCACGCATTTCATACTACTCTCATACTCATATGCATATCAGTAAACACAACTTGACGAAAATAATTTTATCAAAAAAAATTTTTTTTTTTTTTTTGTGTTAAAATATTAAAATTCCTCGAAATTTCATTTAAGCATTTTTTTTTTTAAAAGTGACCATATAGGTTAAAAAAGGTTGTAAATAAATATTTATTTAGTTAAAAGAGAAAAACAATTTAATTTTCAGGCAGGTTTCGAACCGTAGCCCACAGATTTCCATATGCACTCTTCCTATACCATAACTCTTCTTAACCAATCGTTTAATACTGAAAGTGACTAAAATAAGCATCCTATGTGGAATTCAAAGATTTGTTAGTTCTGTTGTTCAGAATATTTTAGTATATCTTTAATATGATAATTACCTAAACATTTACCATTTAAATCGGTTAAAGTATAAACTAAAGGTGATAATTTAGCCGTCACTACACATTTAATAAATTTTGGTGCTAATTTGGAAGAAAAATTCTTTGCCTTATTGGATAAATAATGAGTACGTTTATACACTATCTGGCCAACTCTTAATTCAATGTGTCTTTTTCTGAGGTTATATTGTTTTTCGTTCCGTTGGTGGGCAACAATCAAATATTTCCTCACCTTTTGGAAGATATTATTAAGTTCAAGCAACTTTTTCCCATACTCCAATGTACTGTCTGAGGTAATTTGATCTAATGGACATGGAGGGAAGGAATTTAAATATAAATTACCATCTATTATATACTCTCTACCATGGACTAGGAAATAGGGTGAAAATTTAGTTGCTTCATTCACAGCCGTGTTTAAAGCACATTGCAATTCTATTAAGTGTTCATCCCACCTTCTATGCTCGGATTTTACATAACAGGCTATCGCATGAACTATGTTTCTATTTGCCCGCTCAGCTTGGTTCGTTTGGGGATGATACTTAGGATTGTAATATATGTTTGGTACATTATATTTAGTTAACAGCTGTCTAAAATGGGAGCTAACATATTGTGGACCGTTATCTATAAAGATGGTTTTACAAACGCCATGGACTAAAAATACATATTTTTCTATAAAGTTTGCTACAGCCATGCCTGTTGCTGACCGTATAGGGTGCAACATGACATATTTACTAAAGTAATCTGAAACAACTATTAAATAAGTATTTCTATTCCTTGAGTTTGGAAAGGGTCCCAATAGATCACAACTAATGGCTTCGAATGGCTTGGTCACTTTCTTAGGACTTCCCATGAGACCGGGACGTGCCGTGTTCACAGGTTTGTATTGCTTACACGTCTCACATTCACTCACATACTTTTTCACACATTCGTATAGGTGGGGCCAGTAATAATGTAAGGCGATCCTCCTATGTGTCTTCATGACACCTAAATGTGCACTAGTAGGGTCATCGTGATATTTCCTAAGAATTGCCGATCTATTTTCTTCAGGAACTACCAGTTTCCAATCAAATTCGCTAGTAAGATCATATTTATTTTTCGAATATCTATATAAGTTTCCATCTTTTTCCATGAAATTAGGAAATTTACGTGGGTTATTCTTTACTGCGTTTAACATATAAGAGTACCAACTATCTTTTGATAAATCTATTTCTATTGAATCTAATTTAATACGTGACAAAGTATCCGGGAGGATATGATCCCGACCCTTCCGGTGTTCTATTTTAAAGTTAAATTGACTAAGACGCATGCTCCATCGTGCTAAACGACCTGTGGGGTTTTTTAATTTATAAAACCACAACAGTGAAGCATGGTCTGTGACTATGGTACATTCCTGACCTTCAACATATTGTCTAAATTGTTCTAATGCATAAATAACAGCTAATAATTCTCTCTCTGTTGTACTATAATTAACTTCATTTTTATTAAGTGAGCGGCTACAGTAGGCAATAGGGTGTTCCACTCCGTCATAAGACTGGGTGAGAACGGCCGCCGCTGAGTATGCAGATGCGTCAGTCAAAATACGGAAAGGGCGCGAATAATCTGGCATTTTTAAAATAGGGGCAGAAACAAGGGCAGTTTTAAGCAAATTAAAGGATTTCTGTGCCTCAGAGTTCCATTCAAAATCCACATTCTTACGGGTGAGTTTACATAACGGTTTGCTGATTTCAGAGAAATTATTCACAAATCTTCTGTACCAACCTGCCATTCCAAGGAATCTTTTTACCTCCTTGGGGTTCGAGGGTGTAGGATAGTTAAGGATTATATCTACTTTACCAGGGTCCGTTCTTAAACCATGTTTATCAATGTAATACCCTAAATATTTGAGCTCTTTGCGACAAAACTGTGATTTTTTTTTATTTATTGTCAGGCCTGCTTCTTTCAGGCGCTGATATATTTTCTCTAGGAGCTCAATATGTTCTGAGAAAGTGTTACTAATGCAAATTATATCATCTTGAAAAGCAAATACCTTATTATCGAATTCTGGGCCAAATAATTTATCCATTAAGCGTTGCATGGTTGCTGACGCCCCTACTAACCCAAAACACATCACATTAAATTGAAATAAGCCTCTACGAGGAACTGTGAAAGCTGTCTTTTCAGCAGATGCTGCAGAGTCATAAGGAATCTGCCAATATGCGGCACTAAGGTCAATTGAGGTTAAATATTTAGCGTTGTTAAGATGATCTAATATTTGGTTAATATAAGGCAAGGGATAAGCGTCTGGTTTTGTGACGTAATTAAGTTTTCGAGAGTCTAGGCATAATCTGGTTTCACCATTGGGTTTTTCTACCATTACTACTGGAGAATTCCAAGCCGATTGGGAAGGAGAAACTACCCCCAGGGCTAACATTTTATCTAATTCCTTCTCGAGTGCTAGTTGCTTGATAGGTGATAAGGGATAATAACGCTGTTTAATCGGACTATGGTTACCAGTATCTATTTTATGGTGTTCCAATGAAGTTCTACCAAGACCAACCTTTTCTGTGTTAATTAAGTCAAATTTATCAATTATTTTATTAATTATTCGCTTTTGCGCCGTCGTTAAGTTATTGTAATCTTCTAACCCGTTTTTTAATGATATTGAGTTAATAGGATTTTCTGAGTTTAAAGTGATATTACTAAAGTTGGATGACATCAAGTTTTTTGTCAAACCAAAATGGTGCCAAAAATCAATACCTAATATGATTGGTGTAGTAATTTCCGGAACAACATAAAATGTAATTACCTTAAGTATTGAGTTATATTCAATGGGCAGAGACATGTACCCTACGCAATGCAATTCAGTGCTATTAGCGGTTTTTACAATACGCTCTTTATCTAAAGTGTTAAGTTTAAAGCCTAAATTCAGAAAGATGAGGTGCGAGTTTTTGCCGAGTATCGAGCATGACGCACCAGAGTCAGCAAGTCCTAACGCATCTACATTTAATATTTTAAATTGCAAATAAGGTCTATTGTCAAACTTTTTCTTATGGAAGAGAACTTCACGGTTATTTAAGTTAATGTGTGACCTTTTTTTACCGTAATTATATGTGAAGTTCCCACTTTTTAGTTTTTTGAATTATTACTTGGATTACATTGTGGGCACTCAGGTCGTCTTACGCCCTTTTTACCACACTTAAAACAAAGAATTTCTCTCGAATTTACACACTCTCTAGTGAAATGCTCTCGACTCTGACATCTCATACACCTCCTATCATTTGAGACATTTTGAGGTAAAGTTACGGTTGAGATCTGACGGGTTGGTTTGAAATTATTTTTTATTCTTCGTGACTGAAGGTCATTTGAAATAAATAATTTATTCAAATTGGGTTCCGTAAATTTCTCTGCACGGACTTGAGCCAATTCCAAGCGCTTTCCTAATTGTTTTAACGTAAGAATAGAATCAACGTTATGAAGAGCCAACTCTTTCATATATTCCGGACGAATATTATGCATTAAAATTTCTAGCTGTTCTTCTAATGACATGGGAATAGACAATCTCGCAAACATTCCTTGCATCGTGGAGATATAGCTCACAATTGACTCTTGTCTAGCTTGTGTGCGTTGTCTAATTTCGTTTTTAAGTCGATAATCTAAATCCGGAATATCAAAATCCTCTCTTAAGTGTAACAATAGATCAGAATATGAGTTAAAGTTTGCTTTGTTACTTCTAAACCACGCCAATGCAGAATCTTCTAAGAGATCGGAAAATGCTGTCAGCATACGAGATTGCGGAATCTCGCGGGCCTGTCTAAGTTCCTCTAACCTCTCAATAAAACTTCTAACGCAACCTGAACCATTATATTTTAAATTAAGTGAATTTAAGTTAATTGGTTTTTCTTTAATGACGATTAATTCCTCACTTCCATTCTTTTCATTCATCCTTGTTTTCGAGATAGGCAACACATATTCATCCGTCTCTTGTTCCCTCACATCCTTCATGCCGGTTTTACTACACTTGGGAGTACCTTCCTTATCACTTAATTCGTCTGAACTACTTTCCTCTTCCTGTTCTACTTGAGCTAAGATACGTATGAGCCTGTGGCGCAAATCCACAAGAGAAGCATTGTCAACCTCCAATCGAGCAAGTCTATCGATTAGATAATTAGCCCTAACTGACACACGTAAGTGAAGATTACTGTCCTTTCCGAGGTCACCTGATGACAGCAGATCCTCGAGCTCAGCAATTTTCGGCGTACATGCCTTGAGCTCGCTTGCCGGGAGTGGTGTGATCACTGGAGCACACTTGATGCTGCCACGTCTCTTCAGCTTAAAAATTTGGCGAAGCTGCTTTCTCAGTGCATCCACCGATGTGTCAGGAGCTGTGGAAATGCCAAGAATATCCAATTCATATATGATTTCATCCTTTCTTAAGTAGTTTACATATTTTTGTATAGAGAGCATTTTCTCAGATTTTTTCAAGTTAAAGTCAGTTATTTCTGTTACTAAGTTAATTATTAAGTTAATTATTAAATTACGTTTAATCAAGTTTTTAAATCAAGCTACTTATTCAAGTTATTTAATCTAAGAAAGTTAAATACAAAGGAATTTATAATTTTTTTTTTTTTTTTTTTTTTTTTGAAGGAGGGTACTTTTATTATTACAAGTTTCAATTCTTAAAGACTATCTTGTTCACTGTTCAAGGTCAATTTTTTACGCATCCAATCAATACGAAAGTGTTATTGTAGTATAAGTTGATTAATTCTAATGTGCTAAGTTAATTAATGCTAGTGTGTTTTTCAGACTGGTTGGGGATTTAAGCATTTATTTTTCCGCCAACCTTTTTATCATCATATCAGCACACCAGTATTTCCCTCAAATACAGTATTTTATTGCTCGGCCCTAAAGTTGGTCGCCATTTTGTAACAATTTTTGTTATCACCGGCTATTTCAGGGCTTACATGAGACTCGAAATTTATTTAATTTATAATCAGGGCGCCGTAATACTGTGATTTGAGGGAGATAAATGAAAATGTCTAAAACCGCAGTGAACAAGATATTATATTGTCAAAAAAGATTCAGATCTTATTTCATCATGGTTAAAACTTAATACTAGTCACATTCAAGTTAATAAATACATAGTTATATTTCCTCAAAGATTTTTCTTTTGATTTAAAGATATTCATACATTCAAGATCATGTGCTAATACAGTAATACTCAATTTAAGTTTCTTATATAAACAAATTATTAAACAAGTTATAAAATATTAAGTTTTGAAAATTTAACAATAAAAATTTGTTATGTTCTTATAATGGCTTTACAGTTTACCAATAGAAATCCTTTATCACGTTAAACAGAAATTGTTCTCCGGAGTATGCACTGGTTAAATATCAAGAAGTTATAAGTTTTACTTAGCTTGGCAAGATCATGGGAGCATCAGGATGACTCAAATGTCCTCAGGGATGAAGCAGGACTTGCTGTCATCACGTGAACCCGTCACTTTTTGCTCAAGAAAGCTTCACAGGCTCATATATATATATATTTCCAAGGAGATTCCAATCAGGATCAAGTAATTGTGATTATTACTGTTATTAATTAGCCAAATTAATGGACCTAGAACCAATTACACATATTTCTATAATTCAATAAAAAAAAACTAACTGGACCTACAGCCTAACGAATCAAATGTATTGAACTTACCCGTTAATCCGGGGAGAAATATCAAGTATATAATGCACTGACTACCACTGCTAGTCTTAATGCTATTTTCTAAGTATGGTCTTCAAGGTTCTATCAGCCAAAAGAGAGCGAATTTGGTTGTGCACTGCTATTTATAGGCTACTACAACACGTGACAGCGTCATTGCAAATTTCTCTCATATCACCATATTTGGTGTGAGGAATCAAACGGACCGGTTTTGCTGACTCCGCCTCTCAATGTTTCCAGAACATTAATGTGACGTCACATCCAATTTTGCATCTCATTAAAAAAATTTACACACTAGCTCCCTCTAACTTACATTCCAAATGCAACTACTAGGTTCACACATATATTGTACTTGTCCGTTGCTTTTCAAAGTGGACTTTGATATTGAATAATTTATATGCATGATGATAGATGGCGCTGAATAAATAATAATATTTCTACGACTTAATATTTAAGAATTATATTGCTATGTTTTAACGTTATTAAATTTAATTGCTACAACCTCTACGCGTTCCTGAGAAAAACGGTCTTGACAGATGTACGGATGGACGGAGGGACGGACGGACAACAAAGTGATCCTATAAGGGTTCCGTTTTTTCCTTTTGAGGTACGGAACCCTAATAAGAATATATAATAATATAGGAAGTCTTATTATAGTTTATTTACATAGGTATAAAATTATATATTATATATGATTGATTTCTTAAAAAAAATACGAAAGTAACCTACCTGTCTTTATGTTTTCCACACGTGTCAACCGCTGAACTGATTTTGTTTCATTTTGAAATGGTATAAGAAGGACAAAGGCCACTTTTCTTTGATACAATGTTACTTGAGTTGAGGGGCTGAAATCTTGCAGGGAAACCAAATTATTGTATGCAGAAGTCGATTTGAACTAGATCCTATTTCGTTAGTAAAATCTTAGTAAGTAAAGTTACAAACCAATCAGTGATTGTTAATTTTGTGCGTGCCTACCTATGAGCATTCTGTATCTACATATAATACGGTTCAATAAGTTCAATGGGCCAAAGGAAGTAGAATGATGGGTGACCTCAATAGTTGTTAAGGTAGGTTTACTAAGTTCCGGTATCGATTGTTTAATAGCGTTCGATATTCCTTGCGCTAAAGTGTGGTTACTTTCATTAGGTAGTAATGTAGTATTTTAAAGTTTTTATTTTTGTGGTTATGGATAGACATCTTATTTATTTATCTACCCACTCGTAATAAGATCAGTCATTGCAGTGAATTAAATAGTACCATTTAATAGGCTGATGAGAATGATGATGAAACAGTAACAACTGTGCTGTACGTACTTATATATGAATTTAAGTAAATAAAAAAGTTACGATTTCAAGCTCAGTGCTACCAAGTCAGTGTCTAAGTATGCACTTAAAATGACCTTCCTCGCAGCTTTCCCATCTGGCGTTTACTTAAATCAGAAAACTCTTGCCTCCTCGTGCCAGCTACAACAGCTGATTATTCAAAGTAAATCCATGTACACAATGTTAGTATGAAACGAGACTAATTGTAATGACATTACTGCATCAAAAGATAGGAGGAAATGACTAGGACTACAGCGTCGTGTTCAGGGAAAGTCACGGTCGCTGTTCGAGTAGACAGACACCTGTGGTAGCAAGACAAAGTATTGCAGTTACTCGGGCAGTTCAGACGTGAGGTGGCAAATCGCTGGACTTTGAGACACGAAAAAGTTTTGTTAATCTTTAAAACAGTTTTGAAGAGTTTAGTGTGATTGTAAACTGGCATTATGGGAAATTCGGCGTCCGTCAAACTCAATGATAAGAAGCGATGGCAGTGAGTTGTTGATGTTGTTTGTTTTTTTTTTCACGTTAACATGAAATGAGTGGTTATAAGAACTTGATTTTTACATGCAATGCTATTCTGTAAAAACAAAACTATTTTTCACCTCGGAATCTGAAGTGTATGTATATATAAAATTAGAACACGTATACAAATAAAAATCACACCGGGGCGGCGGATTCCGCAGTGAAAAATTAGTTTTTTTCCTACAGAACAGCACCCCTGTACCAACATTCAAAAATAAAATCTAAGCTTATCTGATAACATCATTCCATCTTTTTTAATTGTTTATATTCAAAACGTCATATCATGAGGTTTAGATTTAAACATGTTTTTGTTTTGAAATGAAATTCAAAACATTATGTAACAACGTTGATGCAAGTGGGCCTTAGTTATTTGTTTTGATTCAATTAACTAGGTACTTACCTAAAATAAATTGTGACGGTTATTTATAAAGAAACTTATTTACGAATTAAAGGTACCTACTTGATTGCGGAAATGTTTCGCGGAAAATAGCTACAGACTTACCTGTGGGTAATTCATTGTATTCGAAAGGTTTGATTTTATTGTAATTTCCTATTTGTGGGTAAGGTCAATCGTTTTTGCAAAATTAGTTGTTTTGTAAACAATAGGGTATTTTACTTATGATTATGACATTCTTTACTATAAATACTTACACCAATTGTACATTTTGGAGTGGGTCGTCTGAAAAACATTATGGCAGTTGCAAAATTTTGCGTTCAAATTAGTACCAACCCAGTAAGATTATTATAGGCTATAGTGGTTACCCGAAACTATTCTAGAGAAAAAATTGTCACAGTGTTTGAAGAAAGTTGCGCGAAACTAAAGTTAACGGGGACGAAGTTGAAGTCTGGAGTCCAGACTATATAAAAAAACTATCTTCCACCCGCGACTTCATCGTTTTTAACTTTAGATTCGAGCAACTTCATTATTTTTGGTAATACTACTTACTGTAATACTTCACACTAGGTTAGGTTAGGTTAGTGTTGTGACCATAACCATAACCATAACCCATAACAGAAAAAAAACTAAGAAACTGTTATAAAATACCTTTTCTACAAAATAAATTCAAGTATCACCTCTTGGGCCCTAGAAGTACAGCTTTACCTTATTTTTCCATAAGTCAACAAGGTATAAGATAAACTAAAAAAAAGATGGATGAAATTGGTTCTGGATGGATGAACAGGGATTTTTTTTATATAAACGATACGTAACATCTATCACGTGGACGTGGCTTTTAATAAAAGTATACTTATCCTGGACGTATTTTACGCACAGACATAGGTACCTATAAAATAATGTTTTGTCTGATGTCATCATTATATTAATACGCGAAGGATAAACTTTGTACCCCTTACATTTCGTGTCAGAATGATTGTGAGATTTTGCATTTTTTTATTATGGAGAAATAGTTGTCATTAAATATTTACTGATTAAATAATAGAAACATTTAAATTATTGGGTAAATATATTTTTATTTTATATACGACCAGGCAGCAGTCAGCTTCCTGGCCGCGTTGATTTTTTTGTAGTAAAAAAAAACTTTAGACCTTAATATCTAGCAGTTACATGCTCCAAAATAGTGGAGGGTGCGGGTTCGAGTCCCGTCTGCTGCCCGGCCTGGGTTGAAATTTTTTCTAGTAAAAAATTCCGTTAGGTAATTAGTTGGACATAATTATTTTATTAAATATTTAAAAGTAACATTATCCGCATTACCTACGTACCATTTACGTCTTTGACAGAGGATCCTCGAAAAACTTCAATTTTAAAAAGGTCTAATTTTGGTCAATAGGCGACACCAGTAGAATAAATAAACAAAAACCTATTATTTCAGGGCATAAAAATAATTTCCTTAGTGATAAAAATCAAGGAGGAATAAGTCTCTAACGTTTGAATGGAAAAAAACATTGCCTTTTAACAGGAAAACTGGTGATGTACTACCTATCTACCGGATTACGTTGTTTTGTGTTATGTTACGACTTACGACACCTAAGTAGTATGCGATGCACCAGTGATTTAGGTTTACTCACGCGTTTTAAAATTGCCTCCTTAAAATATAGGTAACAATGTGACTTCGTGGTAATTTAACAACATAAAGTTAAAATTGCGGATATTACTGATGATTAAGTAAGTACCTACCAGAGGCGTAGGGTGAAAAAATAGAAAGGTAAAGCCGGACCAAAACGCGTGAATAAGCAAAACGTCATATCTTAACTTGTACAAAAAAACGTGCAATAAATTACATCACTACATAGTATAAAGCAAAGTCACTTCCCGCTGTCTGTCCTTATGTATGCTTAGATACATCAACGGATTTTGATGCGGCTAGTATCTCATAATACAACCTGCAGTGCTTACTTTGGGGCAAGGGTGAATGTTTAAGAAAGCAGTTTTATTTTTTCTGGTGATTCTGGTTTGTTGGCTAACACTTGTTTTGGCCACATCTTTGCGGAGCACGCCATCCACTCTGTTGTCACCACGCATGTTGAGATAGCTTTTTTATAATATGCTATCGTATTCTTCCCGCAAGTCGTATGTTGATATGATATGATTCATATCATAATCATCATCAGCCTATTAATGTCCTCACTGCTGGGGCACAGGCCTTCCCTATGGATGGAATAGGGAGATTGGGCCATGACCCACCACGCGGGCCATGATACGTGTATGATTCATATACTGTTTTACAAACCTAATAAAACAGTATGTTATATATATTTATATAACCACCCTTTAAGGTATCACCCTTTTATATGTTAGTTTTTATTGTAATTAATTGTTAAATATAGTTATCAGTCTCGTCAACCTTAAGCCCTGCCAGAATATCAGCGCCGCAGTGGCCCTGGCGGCACTGTGGCACTATTCTGAGGCAGGGGCCCAGTTAGCCTTATTCTTTTCTTATTGCTTTTGGTTTGTGTAATCTTATTATTTAAGGCAAATTAAAATTATTTCATTCTTTCTTTCTTCTTTTAGTAAGTACTCAAGAGCGGAGTAGCTTTGAATAATGTACAAAGATCATGTCAAGCCGACTACCCTTGAAACTACATTAATTATTAAATTAGCCCTTCTTTTTGTAAGGTGTTGGTAAATTCGACCTATTCGATGGACCGAAACACAAATCCTTGGCTTACTTCAGAATTACAGTACTAAAATAAAAAAGGAGGTCGAAGATGACACACTTGGATTAAATTGACGACCTCCGTGGCCGAGTGGCTTGTACGCCGGGTTTCTTGGTATCGCCGACTCGAGAGGGCCCTGGTCGAATCCCGGTGGCGGTAGATATTTGTGTGATGAATACGAGCATTTGTACTCCAGTCATGGATGTTTAATATGTATTTCTATATAAATATACTTATATATGTATAGTATATGTATTCTTTCCGATACCCTAGCATCCCATACCACAAGTCTTACAGTGCTTACTTTGGGGCTAGGCTAATTGGTGTGAGTGTTGAAAATATTTATTATTATTATTTATTTAATTTAAGATATAAAGTCAAAGAGGTTGCTCAAAAAAAAATATTATTATAAGCGTAATAATTTTATTTTGCATTTTTTTTGCACATAATTTTATTGCAAAATACAGAAAATTTTACTAAAAGAAAGATTTTCATAGCAACTGTTTCCTTACATTGCAAGATTTTTACGTCTAAAAGAAATTTTAATGTATGTATTTTTTAAGTTGATATGTAATATGAAATCAAAATTAGTACCTATGGTTAATGTACAATTCTTAATTAAAGTACCTATATTATGATGTGGACTCGTGGGACAGAAACCATCGTTTGTCATAATTAATATAATTTAATCTTCATATTCCCGATATTATACGATTCGACAAAGGAGTCTTCATAATTACGTAATTTGTCACATTTATAAAGTCTTCTTTGCCTTGGGCTAAAGAAAACGTACCCAATTATCTATTCATGTAAATCTAAGTTGCTTTAATGGAGCTTACTTGAAGCTTTTAATTAAATCTTTGGTGTGCGTTACGCTCAAGATCAAATTAAAAAAGTAAGACTTGAAATGATCAATACGAATATTAAATATTTGCAAATAAAGTAATAGTAACAATACTAGTAGAAAAAGTTCATAAGTATGCCCAAT